TCATTGAATCAAAACTTCTGTTATTTGTATCTCGAAGTATTAGCTAGGTAATACAGTGATAATATATTTACTTTTATGAATTAGGATATGTCTTTTTATGTTGCCTCTGGGAAAATGATATGTACATTTTTCTTTTAAGAATTCGTAAATTGAGGCTGGTTGTGGTGGCTCATGCCTATAATCCAAGCACTTTGGGAGGCTGAGGAGAGAGGATTGCTTGAGCCAAGGACTTTGAATCTAGACTGAGCAACATAGTAAGACCCTGTCTCTATATTAGAAAAAAAAAAAATAGCTGGTGTGGTGGTATGCACCTGTAGTCTTAGTTACTTGGCTGAGGTGGAAGGATCTCTTGAGCCCAGGAAGTCAAGGCTGCAGTGTGCTATGAACAGTCCCCTGGTGAACAGCCACTCCATTCCAGCCTGGGCAACATAGGGAGACTCTGAATCTTAATAAGAACAAAATAATTCCTAAATTGTTAGTATCTATGAATTACAATAGATATTACAAAACTCCAGCAGTTTCTAGAATATACGAATTCTTTAATCAGCATTCTTTCAAATGCTATGAGCAATTCTAGAATAGAAGTAATTGTTTACTTGTGTTTTAATTCACCAGTAACTTACAGTCCAATTTCAATAACTTAGAAAACAGACTCTGTCAAGTGTAGAATGACAGTGGAAAATTTGGGCTCAGCACAGTGGCTCATGCCTGTAATCCTAGCACTTTGGAAGGCTTAGAAGGGCAGCTCATTTGACTCCAGGAGTTTGAAACTAGCCTGGGCAAAATGGCAAAACCCCACCTCTACAAAAAATACAAAAAAACTGGCCTGGCATGGTGGCACACATCTGTAGTCCCAGCTACTTGGAAGGCTTAGGTAGGAGGATCCCTTGAGTCCAGGAGGTCAAGTCTGCAGTGAGCTGTGATCCGGCCACTGCACTCCAGCCTGGACAACAGAGCAAGATGCTGTCTCAAAAAAAAAAAAAGAAAAGAAAAGAAAATGGAAAACCTGTTTCTTTGCTGATGCCTAACAGGGTCTGAGTATTGCTGGTGATTGAACAAGGAAAGGGTCTGATGACTAGGCACTGCCTGGTACATAATATCAGATGTTGTGAAGGTAAGTGAAAACCAGGATGGTTCCAACTTTCAAATTGTGAAGTATTTAGATATTCTTTTATATATTTTACCAGATTCTCATATAGTTCTTTATGTAGTCACCTATTTGTTTACTCCACTAGATTGCTAGCTCCTTCAGGGAAAGGACCATATTTATCTTATTCTACATGACTCCAAAGCCTACAGCAATGCCTGGGATGGAGTAGGTGTTCAAGAACATAATTTTATATAAATAACGATAACAAGAGTGTTCAGAGTAGGATATTCTAAGTATATGGGACTATGCCCAGTCCTTAGTCTGGAGACTGGCTATGATAGTAAGCTTAGTGTAGAGAGAGAAAAACATCTGATACAGGTAATAGAGAAAAATGCAATTTAAGTTACTACCTATATGGGGTATTTTTGTGCAACTTGTCCCTTTCCCCTCCTAACGTTATTATCAGGACTCAACTTCCCTTTTAGTGTAGTTATTACTATTATTCTGTTTTCTGTTCTGCCCCTCACAGATGTGAACAGGGCTGGCCAACAGGTGTAGTCAGGCCTTGCAAGCACATGGTGAACATGTTGCTGCCATTTTCCTCTTTTCCTTCTCATCCTCTCTTTGTGTACTCTGTCTCCTGTTGCTTAGCTTTCTGCACAGGATCAATAAATCTCTGAATTTCCAACGGAGCTACTCTGTATTTGGGGATAAATTACTGACCCCAAACCATTCTCTAGATCCTTTGTGACTTTAAGTCAACTCACTTGATCCCTGGTCACTGGCAGAGCCTGGGAAGGAAAGAAAAATCCAGAGAGGCTAATGATAGCAAAGAGTGAAACCATGGGCTCTGTCTACTTTTTCATTCCATTGATCTTTCCTCCGTAGCCACCTTCTGTTGACCTGACCTGATGGTCTAGTCTCATTCCACTCTGACTGAAATCTTTTGCTCAATTTTCATTCTAGACCACATCTAATTCTTTCCTCTAGGCTTCACCTAATCATTGAGCCAAACGGGTACTAAATAGACTTCACTTTGTGCAAAAGCTCAAAAACATGCTTTCCTCTGTTCAAAGTCTTTTTTAGGCTTGGCATTAGTGTTAACTATTAATATCCTATTTGTTTCACTGAGTCTTCCTTTAGCATTGTAGAATAGTAGATACCCAGTAGGGTCTTTCCTGAGAACTACGTGTTTCATTGGTAGAGAGGGAGAAGTCACTCATATGGCTGTTTTGACTATGTGACCCTTACCCACCTAGCCATGGCTGATGGGACCCTTGTTAGAACTTTACCTGAACTGGCCAATGAGATCTTCTTTCTTGTGAATACAAACTGACCCCCAGTGACAGTGAGTTGGAAATGGAGTCCTATTATCAGGAAAGCGCTGGCAGCAGCATCTGGCCACTCCTGAAATTCTGCCTAGCTCACTGTTTTGGCAAGGCATTTTAAAAGTGGTTAAAGTGCAGGTAAGAAAGATGTAGCTATAAATAGAAAAACAGGTGATTGATTTAAGAACTTGATAGTGTGAATTTAAGGAAATGGGTAAATCTGAGAGATACTGATATTGAAGAAGTAGCTAGATTTGGCCAACAGACAGTGATAAGTTGAAGATGATTCTAGTACTCCACGACTGGGGAACATTTTCAATCAGTATTGGAGTGGCTGGTTGCTGGGCAGAGAGGGCTCTCTGGGATTCTCGAGCATTTTTTTTTTTTTTTTTTTTTTTTTTAGGATAGAGTTGTCCTCTGTTGCTCCGGGTGGAGTACATGATCTTGGCTCACTCCAGCCTTCACCTCCCAGGTTCAAGTGATTCTCCTGCCTTAGCCTCCTGAGTAGCTGAGGTTACAGGTGCCCACCATTACGCCCAGCTAATTTTTGTATTTTTAGTTGAGAAGGGTTTTCATCATGTTGGCCAGGCTGGTCTCGAACTCCTGACCTCGGTGATCTGCCTGCCTCAGCCTTCCAGAGTGCTGGGATTAGAGGTGTCAGCCACCATGCCTGGCCTCTTAAGCTTTTAAAGTAATGGTTCTTCCCTATTTCCACAAGCAGCAATGTGAATGCACTATAGAACTTCATTACTAAAATAGCAGCAAATGATTTAGGAATCACTTTGAAGGGCTATTCCTGAGAGTTATTTTCATAGTGGCCACAAAATGTGTGCAGTTAGCCCTCTTTTTCATAGCTAAAGTGCACCAAGATAACTGTTTTATATATATATATGGTTTAGTGACAAGGGTACGAGACCAGGGATATACATAGGGCATATTTATAAATAATATTCAGAAAAAAATAATATAAAACCAAATCAAGTTGCCTGTATCCTTGAGAATTTCCAAAATTATAGAGAAAGCTCTTTAACTCACCTCAGTAGATCACTGTTACAGGCCTAAGGAAAAGCCTTAACGCAATTTTATTATGAATAGTGGCTCAGTTGGAGCTTATAGAGAGTCTCTAGTTGAATGAATTCTCGCTGAAAGAAAACAAAATTTTCAGTTAGTTTTAATTTTATTTAATTAATTTTTATTTATTTTGTTATAGACAAGGTCTTGCTCTATACCCAGGCTAGAATGCTGTGGCAGTGATATAGCTCACTACAGCCTTGAGCTCCCAGGCTCAAGCCATCCTCTCACCTCAGCCTCCTGAGTAGCTGGGACTACAGGTATGTGCCACCATACCCAGCTAATTTTTTTTTTTTGTAGAGATGGGGTCTCACTACGTTGCCCAGGCTGTTTTCCAACTCCTAGGCTCAAGTCCTCTTCCCACTTGGGCTACCAAAGTGCTGGGATTACAGGTATGAGCCACTTTGCAAGCCAGATTTTCAGTTACATTGGGGTTTGAAATATGCTGCTGCCATTTACTAGTTGTGTGACTTCATCCAAATTAATCAACCTTTCTGGTGGTGTTCCTTTACTAGTAAAATGGGGATAGCAACTAATCCCTTTAAAAGAAGCTTCTAGTGTCATAGTTTTTTGGACAGGTATATTCATTACAACAAATACCTGAATGGCATCTGAAAGCCAGGACCTAAATAAAAGAATTCCTTCTCCAGTGGCGCTCATGGTGTTGACATGGTGTGGGTGAGATGGGATGATATCCTAATAATCAACAGCAGTGACTATTCACGAGCCTTTTCTATATGTGCTAGGTACTGTTGTTAGGAGCTCAACACACATTGTCTCATTTTATCATCACTAACAACCTCATAAGGTGGTCTCAATAGCCTCATTTTATCCAGAACGAAATTGAGGTCCAGAGAAGTTAGTTTGTCTAGGGTCACAGTCAATGAGTGGTGAAACCCAGATTGGAAATCCCCAAATTTCAAAAGGCCCTGCTCTCAATCGCCAAGAGGAAAAGCGGGGAAATGGGCTCAAACGCATTCTGGGTTCCAGTACCTGTGTCAGACACCTTAACTGTAAGGCGAGGAAGGAATCCTTAAACCAAAGCTTCCCTTAGTCCCTTTTTCCTTCAAGAATGTTTAGTTAACAGCTTCTCTCCGTACGGACTGACCGAATAAAGTTATAGGAAAAGGGAGACGGGCTGGCGGCCACGCTGTCCCCGGGGCTGGTGCGGCAGTTAGCTTGACTTCAGGAGCCCCGGATCTCCTGGAGGAAGTCAGGGCCCAAGGCGCTTCGCAGTACAGCCGGGGAAGCGCGGGGGCTGCAGGCCCCAGCTAGCGAATGTGAGGAGGCAACCCGGTCCACGCAGCCGGGCGGAAGCGGAGACGTGGAACCGAGAAACCCCACGTGCTAACGCGGAAGCCTAGAGCTCGCGGGAAGCGCTTGGCCAGCGCCTACACTCTCCGGCCCTCCCGGACGCCGCGAGGCTCCTCCCACCCTGGGCTCCTCCCGCCCTGCTCCCGCCTCCCTGGCCTGTCGGGCCAATGCGCGGGGCGCGCGGGCGAGGCGGGGAGGGGCGGGGCCCACGGCGTGCGCGCAGGTGCCGCTCGGTGCCCGGCCCGCCCGTTCCGCCGCTGCCGCGGCAGTGTGCGTGCAGCTCGGCGGAGGGGCTGGGCCTGCGTTCTCTCCTCCTTCATCCCCGCCTCCGGCTGCCGGCAGGACCTTTTTCTCGCTGCCGTTGGGACCCCGTGTCATCGCGCAGGCCGAACACGGTGAGGTCCTCAGGGAGCCCGGGGGCGCGCTCTCCGCCAAGTCTTGGGTGCCCAGGCCCATTGCCCTGAGGCTGGTGCGAGGCCTGGGCCCGGTGGCCAAGATGGGGCCAGGGCAGCGGGTGGTGTCGGGGTGTGTGGATGAATGAGGCGCTGCCGGACTAGGCCGCGCGTCGGGAGATCGGCCTACGCCTCACGCGGGAAAGCCCTGGCGAAAGCCTTCTCCTGAGGGCGGGACGGCCAGTGGCCCAGTCCGGAGGGGGAGGATGGGGGGTGAGGCCCGCCTTGGGTGGGCGGCTGGCCACCGCTCGGTATGCCAGAGGACCCGACCGGCGCTGTTCATGTTATCTGTGCCTTGGAGGCCTGGGGGTTGGCCAGGAACAGGTGTCAGGAGGCTGAGAAGGGAAATTCCTGGCCCTCGGGGTCAAGGATCAGAGGCTGGAATATTACTACAAGGGCAGAGCCCCAGTGTGGTCCTAGGAGGTACAACTCTCAGCCAGAAGACAGGGACAGTTTTAGTTCCCAGCTTCTGAGACTTGAGCTTAGCAGTCCTTGTGATTTCCCTTGGCACTAATTCCGCACGTACGAATTAGGAGTCAGAACTAGTGAGGGACAGAGAAAGTTTCGACTTGTAAATAAAAAGGTTTATTCGATTCATTTACGATTAGAAATAGTCACCATGGTGTAGATTTTGGAGGTTGCTTATGATGACTGATGAGCCGTACCTTCAGTGCCAAAGGTGGGAGGAACTTGGCGGAAGGACCCTAGTACCTGGTGGGTGTTCATCTATGTGAAAAATGGGGGTTGTGAGTGAATGGGAAAAATCAGATTCCAGATTCTAGAGAAATGGTTTGGTGTGAAGGGTGACTTAGTTACTGGTGGTTCTAGAATGGAATTTTCTTTTATTCTTATCTGTGTACCTGCTTCTAAATGTTTTCGTTCATATAATCATATATCAGGTTAAGAAAGTGTTTTGTGAGCAGTCTGGATGTAAGGTTGGTAGCTAAACTCTTTTATCTTTGATTCCTGATGCCACAAAGATTTTATTTATTTATTTATTTAAGATAGAGCCTTGCTCTGTGGCTCAGGCAGAGTCCAGTGGCGCGATCTCAAAGCACTGCAACCTCTGCCTCCTAGGTTTAAGCAGTTTTCAAGCCTCAGCCTCCCGAATAGCAGGAATTACAGGCACACGCCGCCGTGCCTGGCTAATTTTTTTTTGTATTTTTTTTTTTTTTTAAGTAGAGACGGGGTTTCTCCATGTTGGCTAAGCTGGTCTCTGCTCCTGGTCTCAAGCAGTCCGCTCACCTTGGCCTCCCAAAAGTGCCGGGATTACAGGCCTGAGCCACTATGCCCGGCCCAACAAATACTGATTTTAGATCAGTCTTTCTGGGACTTCTCAGCAGTGACTCCTTTGACAACCATCAGAATCAGATATGTTTACAGGACTTTAAAAAATTTTTTGTTAAAAAAAAAAGTGGATTTAGCCGTTAGTTTTGGATCGCTATCTATAGTATGTTTTGCTCTTAATCTTGATTCAGTAATACATTTTATGTGATGAAATGTGTTTTGGGTCCATGTGGATAGTAAAAAGTTTTGTTCATATGTCTGCTTTGGTATTTCAGATGCCCCCCAAGAAGGGAGGTGATGGAATTAAACCACCCCCAATCATTGGAAGATTTGGAACCTCACTGAAAATTGGTATTGTTGGATTGCCAAATGTTGGGTAGGTGAATGTTGGGGCTTTTCTTATTTTCATTGTGTAAATATTTGGGGTCCTATTGTAGAAATGGGAACAATGAGGTAATCAAAATTTAAGTTGAAGAAAAGAGGCCAGGAAGCCAGACTATTAACCTTGCAAAATTAGACTTTAGATTTATTTTATTGATTTCAGTGCTGGTTGGCTATGTGTAGTACCTACCTAGGCTGGCTACCAGATGCCACGCAGTAGGATACTTTAGGATATAGATTTGAAAGCTCCATTATAAGTTTGATGGAGAAGGAGGTGACAGTTTTGAATTTTGCAGTGGAACTTGTTAGGGTTCCTATTACAAAATGTCTAAATCTGAAAGTTCTGAGAACGGAAATTTGAGTTTTTGTAATGTTTTCTTTTCTTTTGAGATGGAGTCTCATTCTATTGCCCAGGGTGGAATGCAGTGGCACGATCTTGACTCACTGCAACCTCAGCCTCCTGGGTTCAAGCAATTCTCCCGTCTCAGTGTCCTGAGTAGCTGGAGTTAGTGGGGAGGTAGGTGCATGCCACCACGCCCAGCTAGTTTTTGTATTTTTAGTAGAGACGGGGTTTCACCTTGTTGACCAGGCTGGTCTTGAAGTCCTGACCTCAGGTGATCTGCCTGCCTCAGCTTCCCAAAGTGCTGGGATTATAGGTGTGAGCCACCATGCCCTGCCCAAGTCTTCTTTTTCATTATTTAACCTTTCACTAACCTTAAAATATATTAGGATGTACTAATAGGTAACAGATTCAATGTGGATGTGTGAAGGTGATCAAGGGTATTTTGGGATGTACTGTGGTCTTTTAGGTTGGTGGCAGGTAGGACAATCATGTTCTTAGGTATTCCTAGGAGCTTCTGTCATAGGGATTCCTCAGTGAGTAGAACATGGTGTGACCAAGTGAGGCATGTCTTAAATTCATGTAATGTAAAACATGAACAAATGTGGATGTCCTGATTTCAGTCGTTCCTGGAGCTTGAAGAGGTTTGCATTTTGAAGGGGTTTCCTGCTGTGATATAGTCTGCTTGTAAAGTAAGACTAAATAGAGAGTGGAAATGTAAGCAAAACAAATAATTAAAGTACTGTAGAGCGCTATCAATAAACGTGAAAGCAAGGTGTGATCATTATGTTGTGAGCTAATATGGCACTGGTAAGGAAGATACAGTTTTTAGATATTCACATACTTCTCATTCTAGAATTGCTACATTTATAACAACTTGACTTTAAACAGGATTACTTTAAAATGGGCCATTTTAAGTGTTTTCTGTACATATAGGCAGCCCTCTATATCTGTGGTTTCACATCCTTGGATTCAACCAATCTTAAAAATATTTTTTAAAAAAATTGGCTATGCATGGGTGATCACGCCTATAATCCCAGCACTTTGGGATGCTGAGGATCACTTGAGGTCAGGAGTTCGAAACCAGCTTGGCCAACATGGCGAAACCCCATCTCTACTTTAAAAAAATACAAAAGTTAGCTGGACATGGTGGTGGGAACCTGATACTTGGGAGGTTGAGGCAGGAGAATAGCTTGAGTCTGGGCAGGCAGAGGTTGCAGTGAGCCAAGATCGTGCTGCTGCATTCCAGCCTGGGCAACAGAGTGAGACTCCATCTCAAAAAAAAAAAATTTTTTTTTTTAAATAAAAAATGAAAACAATAAAAAAACAAAACAGTAAACACCTATTTACCTAACATTTACATTGCATTAGGTATTATACTACATCATTGTATATAAGGGACTTGATCTGCTGGAATCTTAGAACCAATCCCCTGCAGCTACGGAGTGACGACTGTATAAGCTTTTTAGTCACAGAGTATAATGAAATTAATGTACATGGAAATAACCTAAAAATATTTTATTATTCAGAATAAATGTGCTGTTTACACTTTTAAATAAAATGCTTCCCCCGCCCAATGTCATTGAGGTATACTTCACTAATAGTAAAATTCACTCATTTTAAAGGTACAGTTTAATAAGTTTTGGCAATTAATTGTATTTGGTTGTAAACACCACTTTTTGTACAATGATCTTACTTCACCCAAGTATGTCAGGTAGGATTCTTTGTAAGCAAAACAATTCTGGCTATTTTCAGCAAGAAAAAGAGGTTTATTGGAATGAATGAATTAGGATCCGAACAGCCAGGCCTCAGGAGGGATAGGAGCCAAGTGGTGCTGGCAGAAATGGATCCATGTGGAGCTCAGCCATGTGAATCCTTGGACTTCTGGTTGTTTCTCATCTCTTGTCTCTCCTGTAATTCCAATTCCTGAGTAAGGAAATCTGACTGGACCTGTCTGCTTCTGTATAGGTCTACAAGATATAGATTGTGGGAAGGGGACAGATGTTGATCAAAAGTAAGGACATTCAGTACAAAACCATCTAGAGAATCTCTTGGTTTTACCTGGGCGAATAGAAAGGCTTACTTTTTAGTCTGCATAAGGCTGATGACCCAGAAACTTAGAGGTAATATTTATAGCTAATCAGATATTTATTGAACATTTACTGTATGCCAATCACTATTCTGAGTGCTTTATATATATTATCTAATTTAATAAGCAATTTGACATTTGCCCCATTACAATTTAAATCCCATGAAGGCACGGATTATCTTGTTCTTGCTTATTGGCATATTTCTAGTGCCTAGACATGTTAGGAACATAGTAGATATTTAGTATTTGTTAATGGGATACAGTGGTGTTGGAACATAGTAGATATTTAGTAATTATTTGTTAATGAAATACATATTTCCCCTTTGATGTCTGGGTGTAGATTTAGTGATAAGGAGACATGTTTTTGTTTTTTTGAGCAATATCTCATTCTTTTGCCCAGGCTGGAGTGCAGTGGCATAATCACAGCTCACTGCAGCCTCAACCTCCCAGGCTCAAGCAGTCCTCCCTCCTCAGCCTCCTGAGTAGCTGGAACTGCAGGCACACACCACTGTGCCTGGTTAACGTTCATATTTTTTGCAGAGACAGGGTTTCACCATGGTGCCCTCAGGCTGTTCTCAAACTCCTGGGCTCAAGTGATCTACCCAGCTCAGCCTCCAAAATCATGTCTCCTATTAAAACATGTCTCCAATTGGGCGCGATGGCTCACGCCTGTAATTTTAGCACTTTGAGAGGCTGAGGTAGGCGGATCATGAGATCAGGAGTTGGAGACCAGCCTCACCAAGATGGTGAAACCCCATCTCTATTAAAAATTCAAAAATTAGCTGGGCATGGTGGCACGCACCTGTAATCCCAGCTACTCAGGAGACTGAGGCAGGAGAATTGTTGAACCTGGGAGGCCGAGGTTGCAGTGAGCCAACATCGCGCCACTGCACTCCAGCCTGGGCGACAGAGCTAGACTCTGTCTCAAATAAAAACATGTCTCCTTGCCCGGCGCGGTGGCTCACGCCTGTAATTCCAACAGGCGTGAGCCACCGTGCCGGGCAAGGAGACATGTTTCAATGGCCTCTTTTAATGAAGTAGAAAGAATATGGAGATTTGGTTTCTAGCTCTGTACTGCTTTTTCTCAACCGAGTGACCCTTTATGAATGAGCTCCTGTTGGACCAGTGTATCATTGTGGTTGTGAGGCTTAAGAGAATGTTGGGGGGAAAGTACCTTTAGATACAATATTCCAAACTTCTTTATTTCTGTGAGGGATCGCTCGTCTTGTTGCTATCCACTGCATCAGATGGGATTAGATTCAATTAAGAGCATCGGAAAACCCCAGATAACCAGTTTCTTTTTCATGTAAAAAAAAATGTACATTTTGCAGTCATAGATTGGTATAGTGGACCTCTTTATGAAGTCCTCAGTTACCTATGCTCCTTTCAGTTCACAGCTCGGCAATCCCTAGGGTGTGGCCACATCCTCAAGGTCTAGGGCTAGGGGTCCCCGAACCTCATTCTGCGGACTGATACCGATCTGTGGGATCTGTGTGGCGTGTGGGAAACCAGGCGGCGCTGCAGGAGGTGAGCAGCAGGCAAGTGAGCATTCCCACCTTAGCTCCACCTCTGGCCACGTCAGCAGCTGTATTAGATTCTTAGAGGAGCGTGCGCCCTGTTGCGACCTGCGTATGCAAGAGATCTAGGTTGCACGCTCCTTAGGAGAATCTAATGCCTGATTATCTGAAGTGAGCAGTTTCATCCTGAAACAATTCCCCACACCGTCGGTCCGTGGAAAAATTGGCTTCCATGAAGCCAATTCATGGTTCAGTCCTTAGTGCCAAAAAGGTCGAGGGCTGCTGGTCTAGGGTGTTGTGAATTGCAGCTGGTTATCGAAGGGTCAAGGGGCCAAACTTTACTAGCAGCCTTTTTCCTGTAAACTGCCATATTATACTTCTGCCAACATCCCTTTGTCCGGAATTTAGTCACAAGAATTTAGTTGCAAGGAAGGCAAGAAAATGTAGTCTTTATTTTGACATGTTCGGTTAAAAATTCTATTACCGGGCATGGTGGCTCGCGTCTGTAATCCCAGCACTTTGGGAGGCCGAGTTAAGCAGATCGCTTAAGGTCAGGAGTTCTAGACCAGGCTGGCCAACATGGTGAAACTCCATCTTTACTGAAGATATAAAAATTAGCTGGATGTGTACATTCCTGTAATCAGCTACTCGGGAGGCTGAGGCAGGAGAACCACTTGAACTTGGGAGGCAGACATTGCAGTGAGCCAAGATTGTGCCACTGCACTTCAGCCTGGGCAACAGCAAGACTCCATCTCAACAACAAAAAACAAACAACGATTACTCTGAAAGAATGGGAAAATGGATATTAGGGGCAGCTAGTATACTGTTTAAACACTCACAAATTGCCCCAGGAGAGTAATTGCCTTGCTTAGCCGCTGCTTCTGGGAATACATTTTGGTGTTTCTGCAAATTGCCTTCTCCCAATTTTCTAGAGACCAATCACAGCATCTGTGAAAGCCATTTACTATTGCTGAGGGAAGAGGTTGTAGAAAATGCTGGGGAAAAAAAATCACAAGAGAGTTATCATCATTGTTTAGTTGTCTGTTGTT